ATTTTATGTATGTAAAACTTCTCCACGATACAAGAGAAAATTCCAAAGTATTTTTAAATAATACTAGTTTTTACGGATTTTATCGCGTATATTTAACTTTTAAAATACCCGTACGTTTCGAGCACTTTACAGCACCCATGGTCACGGGGGGACGTGACCATGGGTGCTGTAAAGTGCTCGAAACGTTAGGTATTTAAAAGGTTAAATATACGCGATAAAATCCGTAAAAACTAGTATTATTTAAATATGTAGTGTTCGCGTAAATATAAAAAATTCCAAAGTAATGATATTTAAAAAGAAACATATTTCTTAAAATAACGTAATAAATAGGTCTTCACAAAGTCTGTCAAAACAGCAACATTAATTAACATTTTATGTGCCTGCATCGTCGACACCTATGCCTCAAAACATACTCACTTTATCTAGAGGGGTGTTCCTACTCTGCTCTTGCCCAGCAAGAGGCTGCCACTCGAGAACCTTTACTCTCCATCAAGACCATGAAAGACTGATTGACTGATTTTCTTTTGACTATAAGATAGAATTATGAACAAAACAGAGTGAAAAGAAAGGATATCTTTATTTCGGATCACACATAGAAACTACTAGAGAGATAATATTAAAAAAGGGCGTCACTGAAAGAAATAATTAATATGATTAAATTGACTAGGTTTACTTAAACGTGATAGAGCCATGCTGCAGCTATATTATGGTTGTAGCATAAATAGGTCGGCAAGTCCTGGATGAGACCACGCTCTCACAGAATATCAGTGTAAAATAACAGCGTAATGCTGTTGTGTTTCGTATGGTGAATGTAGAGAACCGGATAACCTTTTAACTGGAAACAAGATGTTCCATCTTAGTCGTTAGCAATTAGCATAGCTATAGCTGCATTTTGATTCTTAATCGAGGATAAATGTAGATGTCTATGGGCCACACCATCCACTTACCATCAGGTGGTCTGTGTGCTCGTTTGTCACACTTACTCAATAAAAAAAAATTAAGATTGTGTGTAGCATGATTGGTTCGCTCGATCGGGGAAGGACCATACTCTCAAGGAATACCAGCGTAAAATTGCACCTTAATGCGGCTGTGTTTCATATGGTGTTTGTAGAGTCTGAGACCCTTTTACTGGTCTGCACTTTGTTTCTTAGTCGAGGGTATGTGTAGATGTCTGTGGACCACAGAATTTTATTCGCCCAGACTACATGCAGTACAGAAAAATCATTATATCGTGATACAGAAATTGTAATACGCCATCTAGCGCCGTTGCTTTGAACTTACATAACACGAACATTGTTCGTGGTTATGAAAATAATAATTAATCGGGTCTTAACAGATCCACTTACTATCAGGTGGAATGTATGCTCGTTTGTCATCCTTATTCTATAAAAAATATAAGTTAAATCAAGGTTATTTTTCTCAAATATTAAATAGAGAACAGATACTTACAAAATGGACGAAAGGAATTGCAACACAGCAAATGAGATCAAATTCGGCGCGAAACTTAAGAGTACGCTCATGAAAATGCAAATAAGCATAGAATAGAGCATCACGGGCCGACGTCCGCGAGTGTCAGCTAACCAGCCCCAGAAGTATGACGTCAGAATTGCAGCTAAAATTTAACAAAAACAAATACTCAGTAGTCCCTATAAATTTATTATAGTAAAGAGGTCGCACTCAGATTAAGGGCGGTGGTGACGAACCACGACTTCTGTTTTCCAGTATTTTCCGTTTATTCACCTTCGAGTAGTTGTAATTTCGAGTAACAGTGATGTATTTTAATTAATTGTAGGTCATAAAAGCAAACAATAGCAAAATATACACCTATGGTTAAAGTTACGAATAGACGGCCCCCAGTTCCCGGCGGCCCAGCTATTCCGGGCTACAAATTCGATAAATTGTACAGAAGATCGAAAAGTACAATATGCCGTCGTACAATTCCGTCGAAAATGTTGGCGGTGCCGCAGCCCTTTCAGCGGTGCCAATTTGACTGCCGATATATTGAAGTGCTGAAGTGTTTGTACAGTAGGGCTACAATGGCTATCCAAGTACAGAAACAGAGTACGAAACCTATCCTACTGCAGAGAGTTGTAAGACAGGGTGATATCATATCCCCGAAACTCTTCACCGCTGCATTAAAAAGCCTTTTTAAGCTACTGAACTGGAAAGGATTCGGTATTCACATCAATGGCGAGTACATCACTCACCTTCGGTCTGCCGACGATATATTTCTTATGGCAAAATCGCTAGAGGTCTTAAAATGATCATGGACCAAACAAAGATCATGTGTAACGTCCATGTCACAACTATGCCGGTAGTTATTGGGAGCACTAAGCTCGAAGTTGTTGACGGGTATGTTTGCCTGGGACAAATTTTCCGCCTAGTAATCTATTTTTGGATTATAGTATTATAGTATTTTTGGTAAATTGCCGTCAGTCACTTTTTAAATCCAACATTCCATACAAAGTGCCCGACATGGCAGTTAAAGTCTAAATAGTAGTCTATTTTTGGACAGAAAGGTCAATCGACGGGACGGATTCAACTCAGCTAGGCAGCGTTTGAGAAATTACGACGCATCATATTCTCGTCAGGCCTACCACAAAACTTGAAAACGAGATCGTACAACCAGTGCTTGTTGCCAGTTATGATTTATATGCCTGAGACCTGGTCCTTGCTTCCAGACAGTATTAGGAAGCTGAAGGTCGCACAGCGAGCTATAAAGAAGGCTATGCTCGGGGTTTCTCCGCGTAATAAACTTAGGAATGAGGATATCCGCAGTAGAACCAGAGTAACTGAATAGGACGGATTAGTAAGCTGAAGTGGCAATGGGCCAGCCATATAGCTCGAAGAACCGACATTTCATGGAAAAGCAAGTTTCTCGAGTGGCAGCCTAGTACCGGTGGGCAAAATGTGGGTTGGTCTCCCACTAGATGGAATGACCATCTGGTGAAACATGCAGGAAGTCGATTGATGCAGGTGCTTTGTGGCATTCCTTGTAAGAGGCCCATGTTCAGCAGTAGACTTGTAAAGGGGCTGTAATGATGATGATGAAAAGCAGCATAATAAAGAAAACTCTTCATAAATAGTAATAATTTGTTTAACTTTAAATCTGCATAAACAAAAATAATAGGACTGAGACAGCACCTTAATGGGATCCAATAAAACAAAAACATTTACTATTATTTGCTCTATCACATCATTTATATTTATATTTTCATGTCACATTATATATTAATTATTAAAATTTAATTATTTAAAAAATTGTCGAAAAAAGAAAGATATTATTTTTCCAACAACTCGCTTACCGACTAGAAAGATTTAATAAATAGCCACTTTATCAACTCGTTCCCGAAACGCTTCCTTGGTTGTAGTTTTATGTTACTGGGTATTGCGTTAAATAATTTTACGCACATTGCATAACAATTCTTATGATAGTTAACAGTTTATAGTATTTTATCAATGATTAATTTATCTGAATGCCTCGAAGGTTTAGATTTGATAATGTCTCCAGCAGTTATAAACAGCTCGGGTTTATTTATTCACAAATTTTGCTGTTTCGAGAACGGTATATGCATGGAAGTGTTAGCACTTTTAAATTTCTAAATATTGGCTTGCACGACTCATGGGCACGTACATATTGCACGTAGACATTTTTTTTGCACAATGAAAACTTTATTGATGTCTACGGAATTTCCCCATATTATTATACCGTAGCTAAGTATACAATAAACGCATCCATAATACGCCATGAGAGCTGTTGATTGCGATGTCGTTTTTGTAAGGTTGTAAGGGTAATTATTGTTCTATTCAATTTCACGTGCCCAAATAGCCTTCATAATGTACCTAAACTCTATTTGTCACCTATTCTTCTACTCATGAATGCAATAAATAATTAAATTAATTATTTATTAAAATAAGTAAAGATTTAGCGTACATTATCTATGTAATTTATCATACGAGTATGTATAAATTACATCGTAAAGTCAAGTGGTCGTACAAGAACTTCTGACACCGTTTTGCAAGAGGCGTCGAAGAGGAGAGACTTACGACCTCCCATATATTGTGATAAGTGGCGATGAGCAGCTTCAATGGTACGAGATATCTGGTACTCCCATCACCCTTCTGCATTGAAAGATCTTCATGTCTAGCAGAGGACTTTAAGGAACTTATAAAAAAGAAGAAGAAGATAAAATGTTTCAAATGAAACTTTGTTTTCGTCTCACCTAGAAATGGTATTGCAGCCAGCCAGCCTCTCTGTTGCATGGTCAGTTTAAGGTCACACTGCGCTGCCGGCAACACGTAGCCCAGGCCGAGGTTCTGAAGGATCACTCCCATCAGGATGATACCGCTTAGAAGCATGTGCAATATATTATATACTCCATACCCTGGAATTTGAAGAGACCCAAATTATTTTGTGATACAAAATTTATATTACAAAAACATGAAACCGGCTGTCGGAAGCTGAAACCCGAATTGACCAAGTAAACAATCGGGTTGACAACGTAATGGCTGACATGAAGAAATCGCTGGACGAACTCAAACTAGGGGATGGAACTACAGCTCCCGTAGTAGCTACAACACCCTCGCTACGTGGATTCTAAGTGCCTCCGTTCGACGAGACTTCTTCCTGGTCGGCCTAGAAAATCCAGTTCGAAGTCGTCATGGAGGCGAACGACTGGAATAAAAGCCAGGCCATGACTGCACTCACCCTAGGCCATCGTCGTAATCATCGTCATCACCAACATCGTCGTCATCGTCATCATCGTCATCGTCATTATCATTGTCATCATCATCGTCATCGTAGTCATCGTCATAATAGTCATCGTCATCATTATCATCATCTCCATCATCGTCATCATCATCGTCATCTTCATCGTCATCGACATCGTCATCGTCATCATCACCGTTATCGTTCTCATTGTCATCGCCATCTTCATGGTAATCGTCATCTCATCGTCACCGTCATTGTCATCGTCATCGACATCGTCATCGTCATCAGCTTAAAAATCACCATCGTGGTCGTCATCGTCATCGTCGTCATCATCATCAGCATAATCATCACCACCGTTATTGTCATCGTCATCTTCATGGTAATCGTCATCGACATCGTCATCGCCATTGTCATCGTTATCGTCATCGACATCGTCATTGACATCATCATCGTCATCGTCAGCATCATCATCATCATCATCATCGTCATCATCATCGTCATCCTCATCACCGTCGTCACCGTCATCGTCATTGTCAACGTCATCATCAACGTCATCGTCATCGTCATCGTCATCATCATAATCATCATCATCATCGTCATTGTCATCATCATATTCATCGTCATAATCATCATCATGCGCTGCCGGCAACACGTAGCCCAGGCCGAGGTTCTGAAGGATCACTCCCATCAGGATGATACCGCTTAGAAGCATGTGCAATATATTATATACTCCATACCCTGAAATTTGAAGAGACCCAAATTATATTGTGATACAAAATTTTGTTTCAATTTTGCAATCAAGTGATAGTGCGCCACGTGGTGGTGGGTAAAGTTTGTGTTTGAGTGGTTTGTTATCACTAATACTGTAAATAGATAGGTCATAAGATACTTATTTCATTAGGTATATCTTATTTATGCCTGTTTCTTGACGCCAACCCAGTCGCTACTTATTTTTGTTATGGTTATTTCCCATTTCAATTTTACGTCGTCCTGTTGCGTAATGTGTATTCTGATCGTAAGCGACACAGCTTTCCCGTTCGAAAGCCGAAGCGAGACTGAGCGGGGCTATCGGGTGGCAGGGAACAAGCTTCAGGACGCCGATAGTTTAGGTAATTTCTTTTTACAGTGAAAATAGTGGTAATTAAAAAAAACATAATAAGCCCTGCTTTATAGTTAGTTCATTTAGTATGCAAAGTTTCATGATCTAATTTAAGGTATTTTGTTAATACCAGCGAATTCTTGTTCGGTTTGGAGGTAACTTAGGATATTTTTTTCTTCTCTCGATTCGGCCTCCTATAGCGCCTACGTTGGGTTCGGGAACAACGTATGTGATCTCCGCAACGGAGTAACACACAAAGGCGATAACCTCTTCCTTTTCAGAAAATAGGTTCAGGCGGGGATTACGGGTCTTCCGAAGTCGTCCCAGTCCCAACGCCTTAATTCTTCGATGTGGACTGTATTATTTTGAGGGAAGAATTCCTTGGGAATAAAACAGCAATTATCTTCAAACCGTTCCGTGAGAGAGTAATTACTTTTCCCTATCACTTCCCTACACTTTTCTTCTTCTTCTTATTGACTGCTGGTCTTGCACTTTTCTCGAAGTATCTCCGAACTTCCCCGAACTTTCCCGAAGGATTCCCGAACTTTCCCGAAATATTCCCGAACTTTCCCGAAAGATTCCCGAAGGAATTGCAACGTTGTTCGTCGTCTTCACGCACCTAGGTACGTGCAGGTATCGGGCCTCGGGGTATACCCCATTACCCGGATATCCTCATACCCCATAACTATGGGGCAGTCAATTTTAGCCTATCTTGGCATGGCTGTTGCTACATTTATAATGTAGCCGGATAAGAATATTTCCCGTAGTTCACCGACTACGGGAAAGGGAGGTTATCTGTGGAGGTAATCTATTTGAGTCTAAGTTGTCCTTTCTGCGGCATTGTGGGGTGTGCGGCACTTGACTCTCTAATCACATATAGAGAGGAGTTCTCTTGGAAGAGAAGGTCCGGTGGCCGGGTGTGCAACGGCGCAAAGCCGTTGAGGTATTCATGTGGCCCGTTATCGGCACGGTCAAACATGCCGTGCGCTAACCGGGCCACGAAGTCGGTGATGGTCTTGACTTTCAGATCGGCCGCTATGACGTCATTCCGGACGTAACGACCTGCTCCGACAATCGTCCTTAATGACAGGTTCTGCTGAGCCTGTAGTCGCCGCCTCAGAGGGTCGCTCAGAAGCGCGTACCAGGCCGGAGCAGCGTAGGTGGTAATAGTCCGGATATACATCTTGTATATCCGGAGCTTGATTTTTATTGGCAGCTTGGATGCCAGGACCGGACGAAGCATCGCCCGCGCACATCTGTCTTTGCGGACTTCTGCGGACGTGCGCAGTCATGCGCAGCGCCCGGTCGATCCGGCACCCGAGGTTTGTCACGGCCTTCTCGTACGCGATCATCTGGCCGTCGAGAGTTAGTGGTGGTGGTAGATTTCTGAGGCGACGAGTGAGCAGAGCGGTCGTCTTACCAACGTTGACGACCATCCTCCACTCGTTCAGCCATGGTGGCAACAGGTCCAGCAGACGCTGCATTTTGGCAGTGGCTATATGGGCTCTTCTGGACGAGGTGAAATAGGCGATATCGTCCGCGTATAGCGCCAGCTCAACGTCGTCCTCCCATTCTTGCAGCCTGCCTGCCAATGTTGGGATGTTATTCGTGTATGCCGCGTACAGGACTGGAGACAGACAACTGCCCTGTGGGACGCCGGCACTGATGGTTCTTGTTGCGGACTCGGCGTCCTCTACGCAGACGTAGAACTTCCTGTCTTCCAGGAAAGACGCCATTAACCGCAATATAGCAGGACACTGGTCTGCTCGTGTAATTTGTATAGTAATCCTGAGTGCCACACCCGGTCGAACGCCTTCTCGATATCGAGAAAGACGCCCAACGATATGCGGCCACGATTGTACTCTGCCGCAAGCAGGTGCAGCACTCTAGTCAGCTGTGTGACTGTAGAGTGACCCCTCCTGAATCCGTGCTGCTCCGCCCGAAGTTGGATGCACGGACGGAGACGTCTCAGCAGCAATCTTTCAAACAGTTTAGCTATGTGCGGTAATAGCGTAATCGGCCTGTAGCTGGCAGCTCTACGCCTGTCCTTCCCGGGTTTCGGCAAGACGATAATTTTGCCTTTCTTCCATTCCTCCGGGAAGTGGGATGTCCGCAGTATCCCATTGTAGAGTCGACCAATCTCTACTAGGACTTTATAGGGCAGCTGTCGGAGTGCAGCGTTGATAATCCCGTCGTGTCCGGGCGCCTTCCTCGGTTGCAGGCAGGTTACTGTCCTCCGCAGTTCGGCGGGGGAAATGAACCACTCTCCTGCAAGAGGCGGCGCAGGTGACGACAGGAACTCCTGTACGCGACTCTCCTTTATGGCATGAAGCTCCATGAACTCCGCACTTGCAGGATTCGGCATAAATTGCTCCTCGAAGTGCTCTCCTAGGATATCAGCTCTGCCCTTGGCATCATAGCAGCGTTCGCCCGCACTGTTGGTCAGCGGGAAAACGGGAGGTCTGGTTTTGGTTAGCTGTCGGTTCAGTTTATAGAGCGACGCATTTTGTTCCTCCGCCTTCCATATGCGCCGCGCGCGAGGAGAGGCCTGGCTCTCCTCTGTAGGCCCGGACTGCAACCGACAGTTCCTCCGATAAGATGTTGAGCTGTGATTTTAGTCTTGGGCAGCGACGCGCCCAGAGCCTCCTAAGTGCTCTTTTGCGTTTTATCTTCACGCATATTTCCCGCGGCAGATCGTCACGCCTTTCTGTGATCGGGACGATCGTAGTGATTCTAGTTGCAGCGGCCTCTACGTCGTCCGCTGTGTTTATGAGTTGGTGGGCTGGAGGTCTCGCCTGCAGGTGTTGTGCGTAGCGCCTCCAGTCAATGCGTGTCTTAAATGCTCTGGGCGGCGTAGTCACCGCCTTAGTGCCAAGGGTTATCAGAATCGGGAGGTGCTGTGAGCTCAGGTCGTATAGCACCTCTACCACTACCGGGTAGTTGACGTTCCTAGAGAGCACGATGTCTAATACATCCGGATGTTGCTTCGGATCTGTCGGAACGTTGGTTCTCTTATAGTGCATGACCCGGCGGGGTGATCATTCTGGACCCCCACGCCGGGTGTTTGGCGTTTAGGTCCCCGGCGATTATGGTGGGTGTATCGCCTTCCATCACCGTCCGGATGTCTGAGGAGCAGAATGGAGTCCCTGGCGGACGGTATGCTGCGTAGATCCTTAGTTCCTCGCCCGCCGCCTCCATTCTTATGCCGATAGAGCGCATAGTCTGGTAAGGTGGTAGTTCCAGCTCTTGGTGGACGATGTCCCTCCTCACAAGAACCGCCGTCCCTCTGTAGGCGGCCCCTTGAGGGGTGACCTCGTCCCTTCTGTATAGGTGGTAATTTGGCAGCTTGATATGCGTCTTTGGATTTAGTTTTGTCTCGCCCAGCAATATGATGTGCAAGTCCTGTTGCTGGGCGACAGTGCGGAGTTCATGCAGCTTCTGCTGTATACCGCCCGGGTTCCAATAGAGGAGGCGCAGATTACTCTCCTCCGTAATGCCGGCCTAATAGGTTTGCCAGCGCCTTCATGATCGCCGTGACTGGATCTGTCCCGGCTCTGATATCCGCCAGGACTTGTGTGGCGACCTCGATGGCAATACCAACTCAGCGTTGTATCGCGTCTGCTGTCTCGAGGCCGGTGGCGGGTGTTTTCCTGTATGAAGGCGTTGGCAATTGTCTCGGGTGTGGATGTTCCTGGTCCTGCCCTCTTGGCTTATGGGTAGAGCGCGCTCTAACTGTAGAGCGGGCTCTACGTTCTGGTAGGGCCCTTTCTGGCACTCTACCCACGCTTTTGGTCGACTCCCGAGTAATCTGCGCCTGTGAGGCTACTGGTCCAGATGGTGTCGGGGTAGAGGTTACAGCCTGAGGAGGCTGCGACTTCTTTCTGCTCCTTTCCCGCCTCCTCTTCTTAGAGGGTTGCCGTTCTGTGGCAGGGTTGGCGGGCGGCTGTAGAGTCGCCCCGGTGGTTGCCCTTGTCTCTGTGGGTTCCACCGTTTCTTTGGGTGTTACGGGTGGGGGGGGCTGGTTGCCTGCCCTTCCCTGTGATGGTAACCCACCCGTCTTGCTGGATGGTAACAGCTTTCGGGCGACTTTGGGGGATCCTTTTTGGGTCCTCCGGGAGTAGCCCCGGCAAAGTAATCCCCTGCCTCCTAGCAGTCCTCCTCAGGACTGGGCAGCGGCGGTAATTTGCCGTGTGGTTTTTGCCACAGTTGGCACATTTGGGTTCCTCCTCTCTACCCCGAGGGCAAAGGCTTGCTATGTGCTCCCCGGCACAGCGCACACACCTCACTGGCCTGAAGCAATTGGCGGAGGCGTGCCCGAAGGCCTGGCATCGGTGGCATTGAGCCGGTCCTGCTTTTCTCTGCCAGGCCTCGATGACGACCCCTCTCATAAAGAGGAGCTCGTCAACGTTGTATAAATTCTGGAGTTGCTCCAGGCTCAGGTGATCTCATTGGGCAAAGTAGATGCAGCCCGGTCAGCCTCTACGTGGTGGGATTGCCTTCACGTATTTGATGGGGAAGCCTTTTGCCCTTATGGCCTCCTCTATTGCCTTGGTATCCGTGCCCATAGGTAGACCCCGGATGCCCACTTTAGTGGGCTTGTCCTCCTCCGGGGT